TAACTACCAGAAGCTAATGTATTTCCATCAGGAGAGAAACAGAGTTGAGAATGCTACAAGAGATTAGCACCTTCAAATATTTATAATATCTAACTTGTTCGATACCAATTAATTATGACTCATCTTCTCTTAGATTAATAATATAATTAGCCTAATTTAAACTATAAAAATCTTATCTTAAATTAACTAAAGCCACATCATCAGCATAACCAAAGATCTTTAATAAAATAAACTATTTATACTTTAATACATTTTTTTTACTGACCTTTCTAACCAGCATCTATTATTTAATTGAAGTAAATAGCAAACATAGGAGCTGATAGGGAACCTTAATGATCACCATTCTAGAAGTATATCATATTTTTCTAGTGGTCATATATGTATAACGTTGCATAAATCCATCATGAATAAAAAGATATTTATAACTCTAATCACTTCTTCTTATATCAAATAAATTTTTTCTTTTAACCCTAAGTCTAAGAAGACAAATACTTTGTATTTCTTAGCCTTTGAGTATTTAAGTTCTCTAATGTGAGCATCAAAATTTTAGCCATATCGAAGCTATTATACAAACCCAATTTACAGTATTTGTCTTTTTCACTTCAAATAGTTTGAAAAGTTCCTACGAAACGTGATTCAAAAAAGATTGAAAATAGGGTCGAGGACCATATAGACCGAAATTAACCTAAGACAGGTGTTGGAGGTGTTGGGTGTATTTTGTTTAAAGAATAAATCTCATTAAGAAAATTTAACAATTAAAGTCTTCTTATAATCCTTGTATTCTAATGAAGGGACAAAATTTTCTTTCTTCATTAGATTATATTAAGCTCTAGAGTGGCTTCTCTAATTATAAATTTTCTTGAATTTGGTAGATAAGAACAATGCCTTGGATGCCTCTATGGAATCTCCTAGATTCTAATTAATTGGTATCATGTATTCAATATATTTTATTCCATAAAATTTTGGATTTTTGCAAAATTGCATTTAGATTATCAAGTAATATGTTAACTTCTTTGATGTTAATAATAGGAATCCATTTGATTTTAGCAATTAAGTTACTCGGAATAATCTTTAAATCTATATTTTCTATTCTAATGGATCATGAGAAGATTTCCTTATATTTTTGCTCTAAAAAATTCATATTTGAGCCAGTCTTATTCTTTTTACCCTTGAATGGCTCAGCTTCTTAAACTAGTATGATATTAACTTTTAAGAATTTTATAATATTTGTAAGAGTATCCCTAAAAGGTTGCAATTTAGGATATGTATAGGGTACTTTTCTCCTGGTTTCGACCTCATTCTACTATTATAGAGCTATTTGGAAATTGGATAGGTAGATTTCGGTACTGTAATTTCTAGGAAGGTCATAAAGATTAAAAGATAAAAAAAATTTTAATTAAGTTATTAAATAAACCATTTTTTTTAATATTTGATACTTAGAATTGTTTTTTAATTCTCAAATACTTGTTAATTTCATATTTTGAAAATACTCCAGCTTCGAATTCTAAAATTTTAATCAATAAGTTTGTCGACATTAGGCTAGATGTAAATAACAAATCTTTGAGAAAAAATTTTTGAATAAACTGAAAAGTATTATCATTTTTATTATCATGTAATTTACAAAAAATAATGGTGAATCTCAAACAAATTTCACATGTTCAAATTCAAACTTTGAGTAATTTTGGCTTTCATATAAAGTTAGGATAACAAAAATATAGCTAAGAACCACTCAAATTTAAAAACTTTTTAACTTGATAATTTAGATCAACTAAAAAATAAGTATGGTTTAGAGCAATAAAATTTTTAACCTTAACGAACATTAGATTATCCAAAAAAATAATATCAACAAATTATAAATTGAAAATTCTCAGAAGTACAATTAAATAAAAATAAGAAATAGATTAAATGAAGTGATATATAAATAATTATAATATGTTTACATAATAATACAATAACAATTTACCATTTACCGAGTAACATTACATTTGTTAAGATTTTTGAATATTAAACGATGTTGTTAGTGGGTTTTCAGTCATTATCATAATAAATTAACATTTTAACAATGGCATCAAGAGGATTTTGTTAAATCTTATTTTTTAATTTTAATTTGGATATTTACCTTAAAATTTATTACAAATGTACTTTTTATCTAAAAAACTCTAAGTCTAAGTTTATAAATCTATTTTTAAATTAATTATCACAGCTTTATTATATCAGAAGCAAATTTTATCTTTTATATTTAAGATTGTTATCAATTAGGCCTAAACCAAGAACATTTTCAAATTTTAACTTCCATTAATTTTTTAATTCGCCTTATTCATCTTGTCCTAGTTTAAAATTATTTAAGAAAAGAAAGACAGAATTAAATGTTGAAATTTATCTATTAGTAAATCAAAAAATTGCTAATTAAATAATAATAATTTTTAAGTGCGACACTTTGTAACTCTTCATGCAATAATGTCCCAAGGCATCTTTCCATGTCCAGAAGGTTCTAGTGCATAAAGGACAGTTGGTCGTGTTTCTACTCCATTGTAAATTTGCGACCAAACAAGTCTAATAAAAAATTTTCTCTATACCTAAATTTGCCTCAAATATACGATCTGAAATATATCTAAATATTTTCTTAAACTTAATTCATTTACAAAAAATTTGATTTTAAATGAATATTTATGATAAAATAAATTATATTAATATAAATTTCAGATCTTAACAAATATTTGAAAAAATATTAGAAAAAGTATTGATTTAATATTTTGGGAAATTTATTAGTGGCTTAGATAAGAACAACTTAAAATTAGGAGTTTGGAGTGGAAATATGGTTATTCAAAATGTTAATCTGAAGTCAGAGATTATTGAGATGTTGGAGTTACCAATAAAATTAAGGTAAAGCAGTGTAGGAAAATTAACAATCAAAATTCCTTGGAAGAAAATTACAAGTGCACCTGTTGAAATTACAATCGAAAATGTTTTTGTGACATTGATTCCACTAACTGAATGGCACTTTGATGATAATTTAGTATTGGTAAAGAAAATTGAAGGATTAACAAATTATTGTTAAAAATGTTTGAAAAGAGGAATTAAGAAAAAAAAAAGTGAAGAAAAAGACAAAGGTTATTTAGACAAGATGGCTTTAAAAATAATGGATAAGATTTAATTGAAAATTGTGAATGTCCATATTCGATATGAATCATTTTATAATTGGGGCATCACTTTAGAGATGCTTGATATTTTCACAATTAACTAGATTTGGCAAAGAAGTTATATCGATAGTTCAGAGGTTTAAAATGTGAGCATGAATAAGTTATTTTAATTGAAAAATTTAGCCATTTATTGGAATATAAAAAGTGAAGATAATATTGTGGAATATAATAAATTTATGGAAGAAAGAATTTTAAAATAAAATTTAGAAGCCAAAGAGTATTGTAATGTTATCATAGTTATTAATGCAGAAATGAAGGTAGTTTAGAATGATTCAAATACTTAAGAAGCTTTAAAAGATATGTAATTATATTTAGATGAAATAAATCTGATAGTTCAATAAATGCAGTTTTAACAATTTGTACACTTTGTTGAATAATTTTCTACTTTTTCAAAACTCTTATGGTTGTAAAGAAAAAAATAGCTTATCAAAGTGTCTGAAACAAATTAGTTTTAATAATGTTTTGTTATATTATTTCCTAAAGTTCAATAGTATGGTCTGGTTCATTTAGATTCTACAGAAAAGTATAATTTTTATTAAATTATAAGAGCTGTTGAATATAATTAATTATTAGATTGGGTATAAATCTCTGCCAGATAACTGATAAAGGAAGCCAAAATAACTAAAGCAACAACAGATAAAATCTAAAAGAGACAGCATGGTGGAAGTCTGATAAAAAATAAGCCTAAGATATTTATTTAGATGAAGACGAAATTCTGGCAATTAATAAATAAATTGATTAGATATTTCAAGAGGAAAGGAAAAAAGTTCTGAGCAGGCCAGATGAATCAATAGAATATAAATTTTCTTTTTAATTAAATAAGGGTAATTTAAAGATCGAGAATAAAGGAGATGGATTGTAAATAATTTTTTCTGGCATATAATGTTCGTCTGAAACTCGTGTCAATTAAAGCTGCAATGTGATTTTTAAATTATAAAGCTTAAATTTGGATTTAATAATCAAAGATGATACACAACCCTTTTTGTTATAAATAAAATGAAGTGAATAAGATAGATTAATTTCTAAAAGTTCACTTTAAAAAAAATCCAAAACACTTTGAAGAAGATGCATCCATGATGATTTAAGTTGAACCTATTGAATGCACATACAATAATGAAATAATAAGAAAATGGAATAATTTTTTTAATATTGAAGGAGTGTTAGAGAATGTTGTTCAAATAGCAGCATAAGAAAAGTTAAATTAAGTGAGTAATCAAACAGCCATCAGGTTAGATTAGGTAATTAACAGTTCATATAGATTGGAACTATTCGTTTTGATTGCCAGCCCCAGAATCATTTTAAATAATATTATTTTTGATTTGGGTAACCTAAGTATATAAAGTAAAAAAGATACAAGGAACTATGATTATTATCCTCTTACAATAAAAAATCTAAATTTAAAGTCTAATTAATTTGACATACTTAAAAATTTATCCCTGTAATTTTCTCTTGAAAGAATGAAAGGAGTAATGAATCATCCAGAAAAACCTTGGCTTAATTTAAGTAGCATAATACCAAAAGTTTCATTCATTTTAACTGAGAAAATTTAGAAAGAAATATCTAATTTAGATCAATTAATTTATCTTTAAAAAAGTGAGGAGGAAAAGTTAAAAAAAATAACAAAAGAAAAAGAATAAATAATAAAAAATTCTAAATATAAAGGGGAACTTATTAAGAAAATAAATTTTTTATGGACCAAAAGATATGCAATAGTTCCAGGAACATTTTTATATTGTTATGAAAAGGAACATGCTTTAAAATGAGATGATAGAATCATATTGAAAGGAGCTACTTTAAATGAAAATTAAGAATGTATGATATTATTAAACAATCAAACTTGGTATTTAAAACTAGATGAAAATTTGGCGAATGAGCTGGCAAATATTTTGGATGAATTTAAGGAAGATGAAGGTGTTTAAAATAATTTTCTTGATTAATCCTTAATGTAAATTTAATTAACACTATCCCTCTTTGATTTAAAATTAATAAAAGCAAATGAATGCCTTTACTCTTTAAAGTTAGAAGATGTATTTTATAAATCACACAAGCAAACCAATATATTCAATACTACACTAATTTTAGGAGATTTGGAAATTATAGATACGGTGCATAAATTTGATAATCCTGATCTTCAATATTTAATTAGAAAAAACCCAGAATATAAAGATGCATTTCTTACAATAGAAAATGAAATTTTGCATAATTTTTCATAAACAAAATTTAATATTGGATAATTTATACTGAATTGGAAAGCTGATTGTTACTTATCCATTTAATAGTTAAGCAAGCAAGCTAGGTACTAAAGCATTTGGTATAGAATCTTTCAATTTAGAGAATGAGGAAGCATTTTAAGTTTTAAAAGGAGAATCAAGTGATTAAATATATTAGCATAAGTTAGACTAATTATTAAATTAATAATCTCAAAGATAAAGATGTTACAACAACTAATTTGCAGAAATTTTACATATGCTAATTTCCAAAAAAGCAATTGAAGAAAATATAAATAGGATCAGATAATTATTTACTAATTTTTCAATCGAATGTGTATAAAAAATAGAGTTAAAATTAGAATACGCCAAAGTCAACTTGTTGCATAGACAATCGCATATACTTTTAGGGTATATAGATGCATACGATTTAATACATGAAGTAGAATTTTCATAAAATTCAAAATTTATGAGTGGTAAATTAAGAGAGTTAAGAATATTCGATGTTACAAATTACCCTATTACATTTGAAAAATATAATCCATTTGAAATGGTTTACCTTAGTGAAATATCAGCATGCAAATTATAATAAGGACTATTTTTTAGATTAAAATGAGATTACAACTACATTAAATATTTGTTCAATTAATAAAATAATTTTAGAATATCAACATCAATAATTTAATAGATTTGTAAATTATTTTTGATTTAAATACTTTAACTTATTTTTAATCCTTCCCAGTTGATAATTAATGACAAAAAAGGAAAGGAAAAACCTAAACTTGTCTGTAGACTATTGAATAATTATTTAATTGCTTTATGAATCCATAATTTATGATATATGAATATCAATTGTAAGATGTATCAATAAATTTACGAAAAAAATATTAAGATGCTGATAAACTATCTTTTATAATTAATAATTTAGTATATTCTAATTCATAAATTCTTGAACCCGAAAGATAATATAATAAAGGAGAAAATCTACCAATTTGGATTGAAAAAAGTTGATTTAGTTATAAGCAAAATTGAATTAGCAATCAACGATTTAATTAAATCTAAAAAAAATACTCTTAAGTTTAGTTTGAGAAAATTATTTTTTGAAAATGAAATGATAGATTTATTTAGTTTTAACATTAGAAACAATTATGAAATTTAAAGTTTAATGCCTGAGTTGGAGATTGAATTAACCAAAAAAGATTTTTAGCATTTCATAACAATTTTATCTTATAATTTTTTAACCAATAATTAACAAGATTAACTTTTTATTCATGATTATCACATTTACTCCAAATTTAATCCAATAGAAATAAGAGCCATACTTTATTTTGAAAACTTTAAACTCAAAATAGTAGATTCAGGGATTACCTTTCAGTTCAAATAAACATAAATTAAGACTTTTTTAACTTAAAGTTTAAAAAAAATAATAAATATATACTGTTAGAAATTAATTATAAACTAATTTAATATCTTTCTAGTTGGAAGCTAAGATGATGAAAATAATTAAAAAGAAATCATGTTCCAGTTTTATTAATCTTACGAAAGCTTAACTGAGACTTAATTTAGGAAGGAATAAAGATAATAAATTACAGGTTTTGAATGTAAAATAGGCTATATCATATCATCAGATTCAAAAGAACTCATTATTGATTTCGAAAATACTATTTTTTTTGCATATAGCGGAACACTACTTGAATATATTAAATTTTATTGATTTAGATGAAAATAGTTTTCCTCCTGAAGATTTGATAATTAAAAAAAAATAAGTAACAATGATAAATTGGAAAGGAATTATTGCATATCCAAATGAAAATTCAAAAGATATTCTTGTTTCAAGAGGAGGGATTAATTATATATTGGAGAAAAATAAGAATAAAACTTCATAGAAATTAACAATCACAAATTTAGAAGTATTTTTATGCCCAGAAAATGAAATACTAGAGTATTATTTCTGTGATGTAGTGAAAAGACATATAATTTTGCCTATGTATGCTTTTGTAGGATTAAATGAGAAGGAAAGCTAACAATAACTTGATTTTTCAATTGAGAATTTAAATATTTAAGTTTCATATAAAGATTTTACACCTATTTATGCTTCATATTTATTCTAAAAAAAGTAGCTTGAATTGCAAAAGCCAATAAAATAAAACAAACAATAAGAAGAGAAATTACTATTGGCTAATGTTCAAGTACATTAGGCTGATATAGTATTTGTACCTTTTATTGAAAGTTCTGTACCATTGATTTAGTTTATTATTAAAGATTATCAACTGAGTGTAACTAAAAGACGGAAGTATATTATGAATTAGTAAACTGTGTTTCAAGCATAATTTTTCAATTTAGAAATTGGTGCTTGGGAACCTTTCTTTGAGCCGTGATCATTCTAAAGATATTTAAGGTAACCCTTAAATTTTCACTTCAATTGTTGTCAATGAATCAAGTGAATCACCAATGAATGTCAATTTCACAAAATAGAACATAAAATAATTGATAGAACTCCATAAAAGATGGGAACAATCAATTCAAAATATTTATAAAAACGTTTAAATTAAATAACATTCTCCTTCTAGAATTTCTAAGAATAATTCAATTGCATAATCAGCCATTGAAAAAGTGGTTTGTATGTCTCCTTATATTGTTGATAATTAAACAGGATATGAAATTGAACTAACCATAATTAATAAAACATATAAAAACATTGATACTGCAATTGTTGCTGCATATTAATAACTTGGATTAAAATATGCAGAATAAATGGAAAAAAGTGTGCTTTCAATTTTTGTAAGATCTCCTTAATCTAATTTCAAAGAAATAAATAATTTACACTTTTCGAGAAATAAGGATGAATCAAGACAGATTGAATACAAGATATGAATGCTCAATAAAATAACCTAAATTTTAATCAGAATTGAAACTTTAGATTAATAAAAAAATTTTGACTATTAGTTCAGATATTTTGTTTTTAAATAATAGTAAATCAGATATAGAACTTAAATTAATAAATAAAATAACATAATAATAATTAATTTTAATTGTTTTAAAAAATGATAAAAAGTACATTCCAAAAGGATATGAATAATCAAAGATATTAGTCAGATATTCAAATGATGGAGTTTGGTCTTAAGGAATGGACCTTTAAAAACTTATTTTGAAAATTGGAAATTATAATTTGTTTATCAATACTCCTTGCTTAGTCTTAAGGGTTAAATAACCTGCATTGACAACATAACCATTTAAGCTCAAATTTGTCTGTCCATTTGCCATTAAAAACTTATTACTTTTACCTATAGATATATATTTTTGTATTGAGGATTATTGTAGAATAGAGCCAAATCAAGCATTAAATATATCAAATTCATAATTAAATAAAGGCTTAAAATTAAAAATTAAATTGCCAGGATTTTAAAAATCTCAATAAATTGAGTTAAACGAATAATTTAAGTAATAAGATTTTATTATTCGAGATTTTCTCGGTTTAGAATTAAGCTTATAATTAATCCCTTTATATGAAGGGGAAGGATTAATTACAATAGGAGTAGATGGTGGATTTACTGTCTAAAATTCTTTAGGACTAGATATATTTTATAATCTAAACTAATAGAGGTGACTCATTTATTAGCCTGGATAACTAGTTTTTTAAATCACTGATCAATTTAATTGAGAGAAGATGGGTGCTTATAATTTTTTAACTCTGTTGATAATTTAATAATCACCTTTGAATAATGCAATTAAGAATAAATCCCAGATAAAATATCTCAACCTATTTATACTAAAATCAATGGATAATTTCTTGTTTAAATTCCAAAAGAAAATGATTATATGGATATAATCATTGATGTCCAAACAATTGTTGTACATAATATTAGTTAAAAAAAAATAATCTAAACCACGAATTGTAATTGTCAATAAACTAAAAACAAATCTAACCATATTCAAGGATCGTTGTAATTAAGATCTATTTATAAGGCCAGATGCTAAATCCCCATATTTTTGGAGGAAGATTTAAGGATCAAAATATTTAAAGTTCAAACTCAAAGATCTAAGTAGTGGATCAATCTCTGCTAAAATGTAAGGAACCCTTAATTTACCTTTGAGAAATTCTAAAGGTTTATTAATGGATTATTTAAGTATTAACTGTATGGAAGAGGATAAGATTTAAGTACATAATAGTCATAGAATCTACTCAAAAGCCACTCTATAAAATAATTAATTAATTGAACTATGACATATGCTTTTATTAAACTGAAATTCAAGAATTGAATGGATATATCAAAACAAATTTACCTATTGGAGGTATAGTTGACTATTCTTTAGATAATCCTGGATATACTAGAATGATAAATTTAGAAATATACAAAAATAGATAATTCTCTAATTTTGTGAAAGTTGAATTAGTTAATTCTGATTAAACCAGTTAATATAAGATGGCTGATGATGAAATATTCTATTTGAATACTTCGTTTTCTTTAGATCAAAGACAAATGATTGTAACTATATCTACTAGCGAGTAACATAACAAAAAATTGAATTACGACAATATTCTTAATTAATTTAGTGTTATCATACCAAAATTGAATATATCAATCATAAATTCATATCCAAGAGATGAACTCCTTGCTATTTCAATTTAAAAAATAGAATTTATTTAATTAGTTGGTATATTAGAAACTATTTAAATTAAATTATAAGATTTATAAATAGACAATAATTAGCATTTTAGATGTACATATCCTGTTTTAGTAACATAATAAAATGAAAAATTGAATATTCTATTTATGAATGCTCTATTAAAAAGGGCGCTTTAAATAAATTTCATAAACTATTTTGAGACTGTAAAATTGGCTATTCATCCCATATCTCTTAGAATAATTGAAGGGATCTTTTGTGAATTAGAAAGTTATTTAAAATCTTTAGAATGGATTGAAGAGTAAAAGAGGAAATAATTGAGAGTTTGGCAAAAAGATAAAAGTTTAAAATAATAATTATGCTTTTTCGATAATTTATAATATTTTCCATTTTAATTAAAACTATCATTTTAGTAATAATATCTTAAATTAGCTGCTAGTTAAGCCATAAATTGTGATGAAGTAAGCATAACAATTAAAGGTTATTCAATGACTAACTGTTATACAACTTGGGATTAATTGTAAAATAAAATGATGTAAAATTATAAGGATGCTATCTTCTCAAATTTATATAAGTTAGTAGGTTCAATTAATTTTACTTGGTAATCCTATAGGATTGATTGAAAATGTATAAGAAGGTTTTTAAGACTTATTTGAAATGCCATATAATGGATTCGTTAAAGGACCATTAGAAGGAGGTTTAGGGATAGTCAAAGGAGTTGGATCTTTAACAAAAGGTGTAGTGGCTGGTGCCTTCAATTCTATAGCAAAATACCTGGAAGTGTAGTTTCAGGCATATCATAATTATCAATAGATGATGACTATTTTCATTACTCATCTTCTAACCAGAACTCCATTACAAGCATGGAATTCCTAATTTGGATATAGGCCACAATTCTAACAATGTCCTTGAGTAGTCTCGAAACTTTGGTAATCCAGTTACACGAGCTAATTTCCGGAGATTATTCCAACAATATACCCACCTAAGATCAACCCATAA